GGCGGCAAAACCACAAAATTACTTTGAATACGGGGGGTATTCATTGGATGAAAGGGACCGTGAAAGAGGACACTAAAATAAAAAGTTTTTCTTCCGACAGTTTCATCTTAGTATTCATCTTTGATGCAAGCGCTCGTTGATATAAAAAACTTTCTAAAACATTGAAAATAAATGCAGGTGTTCCGCTCAAATTTTACGCGAAATATTATTATACCATATTGGATAATATGTATTGACTTATCCGTAAGGCTCTCCAACGTTTTGGATTCTAACGTTTTCCGGAGATCGTCTATTTTCGCCAAATATGCTGCGGACAGTAACTGTTGAGCCGGTGACGGAAATGAGACGATAAAATTTCGAAGTGTTTTTTCACCCATTAATGGGTAAAAAATATACCCATTATTCAACCGTAAACTGATTCTTTAAATGGGTATTTTTTCACCCATTTTATGATTTCAAAATTCCCCCATTTTTTGACAGCTGCATACATGGTTTGAAAATGGGTATTTTTTTACCCATTAATGGGTTTTCACGTAACACCGTGTTGATCAAAATGAGCGCAAAATTTCATCTCTACCGAGGGGGCAGCAAAACCACAAAATTACCTTGAATACGGGGGGTATTCATTGGATGAAAGGGACCGTAAAAGAGGACACTAATGTCGTTTTCGTTTTTGCGGTGTAGCACCAATGACGTTTATATAAGGTCTGGGCCAAAGGGCTTATTGGTGTTAGTGAATGTGCAAATGGTTAGTGGTGTTCGTATTATATTGCAATGTTTATCTTTTTACACGAAACAGCTGTTGGCAGTGACGTATATCTATCTGTTCGCAGATGTTCAGCAATGTTTACAACATTTTTGCTTCTAACACCAGCAAGCTGCCTGTTGGCCCAGACCTTATATAAATGTCATTGGTGTAGCACTGGTGTAGTGCAAGGTTGCAAAGACTCATTTCAGCTAAAATAATGTTTTTCGGAATAATAAAACCAAAAGATGGTATGATGGCATGTTTTACTTGTAACTTACAAGAAGAGGTTACAAAGTATGCGTTGGAAACATAAAACCTGTAAATTTTGCTTTCTATGAGTCACAATCAGCGATTTGCTGATCGCTGAGTGAGTGAGTGAGTGAGTGACGAGTGAGTTTGTGAAAAATCACTGATTGTGACTCTCATGAAGTGAAATAAACAGGTTTAATATGTCAAACACATTCTTTGCAACCTCTTCTTGTATCCTACCAATTCAAAATTTGATCATGGCATCTAATTATTTCATAATTTAGAAAAACATTGTTTTAGCTAAAATGAGTCTTTGCAACCTTGGTGTAGTGTAAGCAGGAATAAGCGCGAGTCTTTGACAGCTCAACATCATTTGTTTATAAACAAAGGTGCAACCTATATCTACACCCTAAAATATTTCGGTGTACGGCAGTGTAGCACCGGTGTAGCTACACCGCAAAAACGAAAACGACATAAAATAGATTTTTTTTTCTTCCGACAGTTTCATCTTAGTATTCATCTTTGGTAATACTGGACTTCTTTCAATGGACATCCATGGAAACCAGAAAAATTCCATCCCGGAAGATCCTCGGCAAGACCAAGATTCAAACCTTTCCGCTTACGCTTACCATTCGCATTGTACTTGTGGCCGAGCTTGTAGCTTCCAAAGAGTTGCAACTCGTTTCCCATCGACCGTGTTTATTCTAGCGGTGGATGACATTTTCTCGGATTTAGAACCATCAAAGCCATGGTGCGTAAAAACTTGGTTGGCGTGAGGCTCGAATAGATATTGTTCTGGACGAACCACAAGTCGCTGGTGTTTTCGCTCCAAATCAGATGAGGTCGACTGAGTTTTGTTAATTTTCAATGGGTTCATGGTGTAGAAAATACTCACAGTTAGACCTATTCTGCGCGGCGTGTGAGGAGAGCTGACTCGCTGTCACTAGGAGCTGCCGAGTGACAATTGTCACCTCGGGTGAGGTGACTCTCCATTTGAGCCGGCGCCGGTGGTGTAGTGGTAAGCGTGACTGCTTTCTCACCCCAATGGGTCTGGGTTCAATCCCAGCCGAGGTCGGTGGGATTTTTCTGAGGCATAAAAATCTCTGGTCACGTCTTCCTTCGGAAGGGAAGTAAAGCTGTTGGTCCCGCCCCATGTGTGTTGATGAATGGGTGCGATATCCTACGCAGGTGTGGAAGCTGCCTTCCTGCACATTCGATTGCCGTCAATGGATGGCAATCGATGTCCGTCGGTGATTGGCACTAGATTGCGGAACAGAGACCGACGTTAAATAAAGGAAAGAAGAAGAAGACTCTATTTGATTTACACAGAGACTCACCTCACCTGAGGTGACAATTGACGCTTCCCCATCACTTCAAGGCCCAAACGCAATGCGGGCGGAAGCGGAACGGAAACGGAAAGTTTGACAGTTATCACAAATTACATCAAGATGCCTAACCGAAGTCGATTTGATACTAATTAGCTTTCAATCTGACAAATACGCTTACTCAGATCGGGCTTTTCCGCTGCCCCGTTCCGCTTTCCCTGTCATTGCGCTTGGGCCTTCACTGTCCTCACACGCCGCGCAGAATAGGCCTAAGTAATTTTCAAAATGTGACATGGCACGAGCCACGGGTTTTACAGTGGATTAAACAAAGTAGCCAACCTTAGCGACGATTGGTAAAACGTCACCACTGATGCCGTTTTATATTATACTAGCTGAGTGTGCCCGGCCCGGGTGGTTTAATTTGTATGGGAGCCCCTCCCCCCCTTAAAGAGGAGGGAGGGGTCTTGAAACATCATGAGAACTTTTCCCTCCCTCAAAAACCCCTGCATACAAATTTACAGACAGACAAAAATTCATTTTTATATTATGATCTCGAACAACAAACAATCCCACATTTCGGGACTCAAATAAGTTTTAAGATTCAAATACTTTAAGCTTCTGAACATTTAAATTTCTAGGACAATTATTTAAATGATCCACGGTTTAAAATAAGTACTAATACAGAGAGGAACCGTTGTTGCGAATGAACTTTTAGCCGGTATTCCAAATTTTCCCAATCAATCATGTTTTGTTGTTTTTGACATCATCCACATCCAGAGAGCCAGTCACTTTGAATGTATGGGAATGGTAGGAAACCATTGGGAAGTGCATGAAAATTTTCAGTTTTTATTCATTATCGTCTTTATGGGCAGTTTTAGATGCACAAAAATTGCACGAGTACATTACTATGGTGATAAGGTAAACACTCGTTTATTTGTTTTCTTCTGTGAAAGCATGTTTAGTCACAAATCGTGGATTTTCTGATATTCTCCATACTGCAAAAATGATTTTCCTACCACTGAAGGGGCGACATCTCTCGGATCTTCAATATAGCTACTACTCAAATCATATAATTAATTACCAGTTGCCTGATCTTGGGTTGTAAGAATACTGACTGCAAGTGATATCTTTATTACAAAAAAACGTATTAAGGAATCAAATAAAAAAAAAGTTCCGGCTAAAACTCCATCCGCAAACAACGGTACCTCCAAAGATGAATACTAAGATGAAACTGTCGGAAGAAAAACTTTCTATTTTAGTGTCCTCTTTCACGGTCCCTTTCATCCAATGAATACCCCCCGTATTCAAGGTAATTTTGTGGTTTTGCTGCCCCTTCGGAAGAGATGAAATTTTGCGCTCATTTTTATCAAATCAATCACACCAAAATCAGAGATGTCCCATTTTTTAATTACTCGATTAACAACTAATCGATTTTTTTTGTTCGCTGTGCTGCCATTTTTCCACCAATGAGAGTGCAGCACATGTATGAAACGATCGGTGATGACCCTCTGGAGATGTTAATGCTTATATCGGCATGATATAACCGATTACAAATATTTTACTTTTCGGTTCGTTAATCGATTAATCGATTATTCAAATGAAAGTCGGCCATCCCTAGATGAATGTGAAACGTCATTTCAAATATAAGGACCGTCATAAATAATGATACAATTTGAAAGGGACCGGGGCTAATCACAAATTACGTCCCCACGGTAACTGAAACAAACACGAGTGTTCACCGGTTGGTACCTCTCTGTACGAAGAAGTTTCTTGTAGTTACCTACATCGCGATGCATCGGTAGAAAAGTGACATGCTATCAGCCCTGTCTTGTCCCGGGTAAACTTTTTGCCCCTAGTTCTCCTACCCCCATTCGATCTAATGGCGTTCGGTATTATTACCCTTCACAATTAGGGAAGGTCCATTAATTATGTCACGCAAATTTGACCCATTCCCTGCCCCCCCCCCTCCCCCTTTGTCACATTTTTTGTATGGACTTTAATTTTTGTTATGGCTCGTCAGTTTCAAAGCTTACCCCCCCCCCCCATTCCCCTAAAAGTGTGACATAATTAATGGACGATCCCTTACAGTCAATTATCCATGGATTGCTGTTCTATAACTCCATGATCCCTTCAATATAGAGTTGTTTGAAATGTATTCAGGGAGTTTCTTTCCTCTAATGCAATCAAATTTATTCTTCAAATATTAATGTAGTATATTCGCAATATTGTAGTCTTTTGTTTCCATTCTTCGTAGGAATTTATAATTAAAGATTCACTGAAAAAAAATGCATGCTCACAAACGCTTTTCACGACATTGAAAATTTTGTGTAGATATTTCCCAATTGAAATTCACTAACTCTAACACCAATAATGGTAATAAACTTTGCGCCAATCATTTTCTGTTTCTCTTCATGTGAGCGGAGCGACCTGATCATTTCCCATAATAGTAGATAGTACGTTTAAAATTGTTATTTATACATGGTTGTATAATATCACTGCTTCAACAAAATGGCAAATTGTGTGCTTGTGCATAGCTCTTTCACTTACCTGCTAGGGCCCATGCATTAATTATGTCACGCTAAATCGAGCAAAAAATTACCCCCTTCCCCCTATCGTGACGTTTTTCCTATACCTAATGCATTGCTTGTCACAAAATCTTAGACCCCCCCCCCCCATCACCCTTAGAGCGTGATATAATATATGCATCAACCCTTAGCTGTAGTAGTAGTAATAGGGGAAATAACGTCTTCTTCAATTCCTTTACCCATTAACGTCAGGCGATGTTTTGCATAACGAGGCTTAATAATCCAAAGGATCGTTTAATCAAAGTTGAGCTTTCAAGGATTTCATTCACCCCCTGACGGTGATAGGTAAACATAATTGATTAAGACATAAATCACCATACCTCAGTTGCCTTGTTTCGCTCAATCCCTTCGTCTGTGCTTGGGGCACAGCACTGTATCGTCCACGGTGGAAACAACCCGTGCTGGTTCTAGCAGCAAGTGATCGTACTGACCGTCCCGGGAGGTTTGCTCCGGTCCTTTCAGGGCATGCGCTCGAATGAAATCTTCCACTACTTCCCGCTGTAGCACAGAAAATTCCAACAATGCGCCCCAGGAAACTAGCGCAAAGGGGCGATCCTTCGACGGGAGATCCGATGGGGTGATGATATGTCTGTACAGGCAACTCTTGACGATGTGCTTAAACTCCTCAATCTGGTGCTTATTTGCACATGGGTGGTAGAGAGCTATAATTGCACCATGCTCTCCATTGTGGAGCCAACGTTGCGGAGGGACATACTTATACTCCCCATACCGTGGCCACAGCGGACGATGAGTTCCACTAGAATCAGTAACATACCATTAGGACATAGGTGCGTCGTTAGAAACTTACGTCAGCTCCTACAAAGTCGGAATCCGTTCGTCGTACTCGATGCTCGTGTTCATGCACTTGTGAATAGCCACGTACAAGTCTGGAATGTCGTACAGCGTGATCAGCGGTTCCATATTGTAATCGCCTCGATAGTCACGCCTGTTATCCAAACACATGTACACCGTCGAGTGGCGAATGTCGTACGGATCGAAATCGATCGACAGGTTCTTCTTTGCATCGTCGCAATCCGAATTTTGCACGCCCATCAAAATACGACCGTGTTCGTCGTGCTGAACGGCGTTGCCATCTTCGGAAGATGTCTCCGGTGAGTTTGGAAACCACTGCCCTTTCCAGTCTGCTGATTGGAAATCGAAGAATAGAAAACCAACTGTTGATCAACTTAAGCATATAAATTAGTTTACCTTCCTCTGCTACAGTAATAATCGTTGTTAGACACACGTAAAACAGTAAATATTTATGCATTCTGGCTTTTTAAAGAACAAGAAAACTATAGCGAATCTTGTACGTCATGAAGGAAACTTTCTTCCTCCCTGAAAACCACTTGTATCGATAATGGGGCTTGTTTACGACTGAACGGGTAAACAAAGAATGTCAAAGGATGTATTAATTGCAGCCCGGCCCGAAGGCCCCGAAGGTTGCCGACCGAAGCTGAGTCTGAAATGCGCCCGCATCAAAACGGAACCCAAATCGGTCAAAACTGAACCTACACTCAAAAATATTACAAAACGAATATAGCTAGATAGAGCTGGAATTAGGGCGTAACAGCTTTTGTAAACAATGACTTCTATCGATGATTTATAGGAACTCAAGGCACGCCCACGCAGACCAACATAACCATCGGGTAGGGGAAGTCTTTCCCTACCCGATGAGGATGTTGGTTTGCGTGGGCGAGCCTTGAATTTCTTTATATCATCGATAGAACTCATTGTTTACAAAAGCTGTTAGGCCCTAATTCCAGCTCTATCTAGATAGAGATTAGTGACGTTTAAGCACACTAGCGGGTGGACCGCTGTGTAAAGTTGTTTATTATTTTCCTCTGGCTAACATAAAAAATATATGAAATTGGATCTGTCAAAATGAGTTTGACAGCGATTTGTTATGTATTTTCCTCGGATATTCACTAACACGCTCTCATATCAGACATAACATTTGATAACGGCCCAAGAGCATTTGTAAACAAACTTCCTAAGGCCCTTTACACGCGAACCAAAGTACGCCCACGCAAACCAATACCACGTTCGGAAAGGTGATAGTTGCCCCTCTCCGATGATATTGTTGGTTTGCGTAGGCGTACTTTGGTTCGCGTGTAAAGGGCCTTAGAAAGTTTGTTTACAAATGCTCTTGTGCCGTTATCAAATGTTATGCCTGATATATCGTACTGGACGTGAAAATCTCCATTGATTAAATTTTATTCATATTTTGGTTAATCAAAATTTTGGTCCAATTGGGTTGTTTAGGAGTATTGAGGTAAATACATATTCGTCATCTTCATTAAAAATGGAACCGAAATCCAAAATTTCATCAATTTTGGTACACTGGAACTATTTTAAATAAGTACGATTACATTAGCAAAAACTCACCATCTTAGCGCCCCTCGGTGGGACTTTGTATGGGAGCGAGCTGTCAACGAATAGATTTAGTGTCCTCGATCAAAAATTCATATCTTGATTTAAAAATCGAGATGAATATCTACGGGATTGATAAAATTATCGGTGTGCTCAAAAAACGAAGCTCCATCAGATGATGTATAAAAATCGGTATATTTTTCGAAGTTAAACAACCCAAGTAATATTTTTGTCAAAATTATAAAAAAAAATCCGATTATCGAAGTGGAATTCTCTCAGTGTATTCAGTAAGAAGCATTTCCATTCAAAATAGTTGTTTTCTCTATACATTTTCGGGAAGAAAAATATATTAGAATCATTTTACTAGATTTTACTTATTGTTTGAGAACTTTAATGGTAATGGTTATGGTAGTCAGTGGTGCATGGATGGTTTTGTAACATCGATTAACTTTATGTGGAACAAACATTGAAAGCGAAATAAGAGCTTATTCAGGCAAAAATATGCTTCTTCAGCTAAAAAATAGCTTATCCAGCTCTTAATCAGCACAAATTGTTTGTTGGGAATATATCGCGAAATGGTAATCATAAATTTACGGGCAACCTATTCGCGATATATTCCACATAAAGTTGATCGAAGTTACAAACTAGGGGCACGCAAGAAACAACCGATTATTTTCAACTACAAACTACTAGGCACGACTATCGAACGGGTGCATTGCGTGAAAGACTTAGGCGTTTTTCTAGACTCAAAGCTGACATATTCACACCATAATATATCGTATGTCGTCAACAAAGTGTCCAGAACGCTTGGCTCTGTCTTCAAGATTACTAAGAACTTCACAGACATTTACTGCTTGAAATCGCTCTATTGCTCTCTCGTACGATTTACGTTGGAATACTGCTCTGCAGTCTGGAGCCCGAACTACAATAATGAGGCCGAGCGAATTGAGTCTGTTCAACGACGTTTTCTTCGCTTCGCGCTCCGTAAGCTGCCTTGGAGACAGTGTTGGCAAAATCAGAAATCAATTGATATTTTTCCGCTCTCATGAGCTCGCAATATCACGCGTGATATTGGAACAAAATATCATGCTTGATATTGATTTTACAAGCTCCTTTGATATTGCGAGACTATTCACAATGTGCAAAAATCAAGCCGAGAGTTGACTCGACACAAAAATGATTCCATTGCACATCATTTTCTTAGAAAGAGAAAGCATAGTTTGCTATCTCTTTTTAATCTTCACCGATGGCAGACGCGAAGGGACTGCTGTAAGCCGTTATGGAAGTTTCGGTTGCATTCGGGTGTAAAGCAAAAATCATTAAACTCAATCTCACCCGAGGGGGCGACATATCTAAATCTCAATTCTAGATGCTCAAAAAATCTCACACTAGCGAATCAATCTTCGAAAAATCATCTTTCATTTCTCGCATCTACTTGCATCGTGCTTCATCTTTTTGCAGGAAATCTTCGAAATCGACATAAATCTTCCTTCTATCTACTCAGCGTGCGTGCAGCTAGCCACAGCAAAACACAATTTTTTCTGCATCGTAGATAGAGTCGTCCCCCTCGATCTCACCACAGTTTGGTGAGATTTGCATTTGGTGAGTTTTGTTAGCTTGATATTCCGAACTGCGATATCACAGCTTGCAAAATCAACCGCAGTTGTTTACTTGTTGATTTTTGTCTACGAAAATCAAGCGTGATCTTGGGCGTTGGTGAGCTTTGATTTTTTGATATTTTCCCAACACTGCTTGGAGATATCCACTTCGTCTTCCAAACTACGAGAATCGCTGCCAATTGATCAATGTCGAGGCCTTACGTATCCGAAGAGCTGTTTTCAGAGCCTATAAAACTATAGATACTATAGATTCCGAGATAGATTCCATAGATAAGCGGAGGCAAAGTATAATGTAGCCAAACGAACTGTCAGTTAGTGTAGCCAAACGAGCATGACGTCAGCATGGTGTTATTTGAGGGAGAAGTATTGTAATATTACGAGCACAAAACCAACAATCAATACGAAACTTACGATTTTAAATTGGCTCACTACTTGACTAGCCTATTGGTCCCAAGCAAATCGATTACGTACCCCATTCTAGTCAAAATTCTAGTACTACACTATGTTTGTTTTCATTCGCTATGAAAGTTTGACAGATAAAATGAGGGGTTATTCGATTTTCCTATGTTTCGAGGGGTGAATCGATTAGCTTGGGACCGAAGATAGTACCAGAGCTGAGCCAAAAACTTGAGCACGTTTCTTCGGGACCTACTAGTCTTAGAGTTACCTCTATGACAAAACGCCTTCCACACTCCACATTCCGATTTATTTCGCGGACAACGCAACAAGAAAAGATAAAGCAAACTATTCTTCGATTGATTGTTGCAAAGATTTGCTTTGCACTTCATTTTGAACTTTTACGCACGAAACAAATCAAAACTGCACAACGAAGAGAACTTTTTTCACGGATGCCAGTAAGATCATTTCTCGATGAACATTTCAAATGGTCCTATCTGCTTTGATCGATTCTCTTCATCGACTTTCTCTTTTCATAACCACTGCTATGCAAACAGATTTCGCGCTAATTCTACCACATAGTTTGATAAAGGAGGTTCTTATCTAGCGTCCAAAACGTCAAACACAACAGGGAAAGGTTTTGCAGCTGAGTTATTGACGAAAGAGAAAGTCGATGAAGAGAATCGATCAAAGCAGATAGGACCATTTGAAATGTTCATCGAGATTTATTATTCATGGTAGCCAAAACAACTTTTTATGCCTCCGCTAATCTATGGAACCTATAGTATCTATAGATAAAACTCGCGTAACATTTGAAAAGGGCCTATCCTCGTTGATCGATTCTCTTCATCGGCTTTCTCTTTGGTTTATCACGGCAACATAAACGAATTTCTCGCTAAGCTCGCAACACAGTTCGATAGAAGATGATGTTAGCTTGCGCCTGAAACAACGCACTGAATGGGAATTTCATTTGCAATCGGGTTATTCACGAAAGAGAAAATCGATGAAGAGAATCGATCAACAATGATAGGCCCTTTTCTCGTGTTACGCGAGAAAACAACTATTTTGAATGGTAATGGTTCTAAAAAACCCATTATTTGTAAGGTTCATTTCCAAAAAAAAAACATAATACACAAGGTTAAAAGTTTATCATACAAACGTTCATGTAATGTTCCATAACAATCTTATAGTTAAAGTTTAGCAGGGATTATAAACAATTTTTAACCATTTGTGGTAAGGTCCAGCAATGGTTCGCATTTATGTCAGCCTCGGGGTCAGCAAACATCGTCCAGTTTACTCAATTTTGAGAAACTTCCCTTTTGGCTGAACTGAGTGATTTTCATCTAAAAATAAGTAGCCCCATCAGAATAGCATACACGGTAAAAAAAGTAACCTACGGAAAGTTCACTTTTACCTATTTTTGCAGGTACTTTTGACTAGTTTGTCTCCTTTTCTCCCTCTAATGTTGTCAAAAACGGAGAAGCAAAACCACCCAACAGGGGTATTAAAGTGTGGGAACCCAACGTTGAGTATAATCATATTTACCTACTGTTGGGTACAACTAACTTACTTTTGGTTAAAAAGCCAGTGGAAAATTCCATACGAGCTGCACAGAAGTAAATGAAAATTACTTTGACCCGCTTTACCTACTTTTGGGTGCATGCACTAATTGTCCGAGATGAGCGAAAATAACTTAATTTTAAGAACTTTTTTCTAACCGTGTATGGCAATCTCACCTGTTTCGAGGCTTTGCGATAAATCCACATTGCCGAACCTTATTCTTCTAACATAGCAGGCATGCTTCTTTTGTTTACAAATTTTCAATCAAGCTGAACATTGCATTTGGTCCTAAGTCACATTGCTCGAATCTCTTCGTCAACTTTCTCTTGACCGTTTCTTGATGTGTTTGTTATATTGGATGCAAGAAAAAAGCTTCTTTTATCGATCTGTGGTGCTGAAAAACCTGGATATGTCTTTACATGGCCGTGGGGATGCAAAGAGAAAGTCGACGAAGAGAATCTGTCAATGTTACTTAGGACCTAATGCAATGTTCAGCTTGCAATGTTCTCGTTCCGTTCAGTTCGGTCGCAAATCTCCACCTCGTCGCTGCTTGTTTTGGTAAGATCCCCTTCGCCACTTCCAGCGCTTTCCGAAAGTATGTACAGTGCTTTGTTCATCTTAAAACGTTCCGTGGTGAGCCGTCCTGCCTGATACTCGAATTATCGAGCAATGTAAACAAAATCAACTTTTGTCAACAAAAGTTCAGAAACTACCTCCCTTCTAATCGCCACACAACTGCATCTACACCGGACGGGGCGCAGAGTGCCTCATTCGTTATCGCAATTTTCTCTGACTAATCGTCGTCGTCTTTTCAACATAAAGCGCAGTATCTTGACCAGTGAGTTGGCGATAACTACACACTAATGATGATGTCCCAGGAGCAATTCAAACTGGAGCGGAAAATCATTAAGGTGAGAAGATTTGGGAATGTTCTGTTGAATGGTATTCGATTAGATAATTTGAATTTTGCAGCATCGGAACCGGAATGCAGCTTATCACTTTCAGCTGCCGGCCTTTGTGAAAATGGTTCACAGGGCCAATGCCGTTCCAATTTTGGACTCGAACACTGTGAACCTTCTGGAAGCTCTAACGGATTTGCTGGCAAAGATAGCCGAATTCGACGGATACAGGGCACCGAATATGGACGAACTTGATCTTAACGGATTGGATGTGTCATTTTCGTTCGGATGTCATTACTGTGATGAAAAACAATTTAATGTCATGCAGGCGCTGGATCACGTAATGACCGATGCTCATCCGCAACAGCCCGACAAGAAAGCGAGTAAACTTCAACGTTTCCGAGAAGGCGCGAGCGGCCACTACCAAACGTTCCTCTTGCAGAAGCACGAACTTATGATCAAGAATCGGCTGCTCCGGCCGTCATTGGACATGATGGTCGATTTGTATTTGGTGACGAAAAGCTTCCTCAAGATGACGTCCAGATTTTTGTCCTCGTTGGACATTCTGGGAGTGGTTCCGTCGACGGTCGTGGCGCGAGGAGTAATTGATTTGCTGAAGCAAATAGATTCACTGATCACGAGAGCCAAGTGCATCGAATCGGTACCGGAATTCAACACGATGGTGGGACATTTGTTCAACTTCGATGTCAAGTTTGTTAGCAAGGGGAAAGTGTTCGTAAGTATTTGGATTTTTGATTTCGAATATTACGATCGTTCAAAACTCACAACCTTTTAAAATTTCCAATTAAGGATGAGGTTCATGCGGCGATGAATCACGCCGCGTACTCTTCTGGTTTGAAGTCAGATTTTGTGCCTCCAGGTAGTTATCATGCGTTACAACATTATCTTGATAGATTGTTCAAACATGTTTGTGCTTTTCAGTGGAACGGAACATGTTCTCGTTCCCACAAATGATCAATACTCAGCCCCAGCTGAACACCCTGGTTGGATCTCCCATTATGTCAAGCCTACCCATGACATCGGGACCGAATGGTATGCCGAATATTCTTCCCTTCACGGCGGGCCCGCCGATTCGCATGTTACCACCGCAGATGCCCACTACGCGACCCCCAATGATGCCTGTTCCCCTCCTGCCGGTCAACATGCACATAATCAACGCTGAGCAACAACGATTTCAGCAGATGCTGTTCAACCATACTATTGGAATTCCGCAACACTCAGTCTTCCAACAACAACAACAACAACAAATGACCTTTCCAACACCTCCACCGCCACTGCCGGACCATATTGGGGTCGGCTGTGGCAGCGCCAATCCCGATTTGCCGACAATTTTCAATAGTCATCAACGGTTGCCACCGCTGAATCAAACCGGCACGACGATGCATCCCTGTTTCAGTGCCGATTTAAAGCGTTTCCTAGAGCAACCACAGCTGGAGAGTCTGATCGAGAACGGAAATTATTTGGTCAAATTTAATAAGTCCAGCGTCATCCCGGGAGAGCTTACGGATGTCCTGAAAGCGGTAGCACCCGACGTTAACGTGGAATGTTTCGGTGCCAAGGTATCCGGCGTTGGGTACGAAGAGGACTTCATCAACCTCTACGTGGATGATGGTAATTTCAACTTTTTGTTTTTATAATGTCAGGAAGAACGTGTTTTATGTTTCATTTCTGCACTCGATCTATTTCAGGAAAGAAACCCAAAACGGCTGCCTCGGTTCAGCTCCTGTTCAACGAGCTGATGTCCTTCTTTACCGCTAATAGCGACGAGTGGGTGGTGCAGAACACCGAAGAAGCCGGCATTCGAACGCACCTCACTGTGAAGAACAACTGTGAGAACCTGTGCTGTCGGATCTCGTTCGCCAGCGAAATCTACTGCTCCAACAGCAAACTGATCCGATACTACATGAACACATTCCCCATGTGCCAGAAACTGTGCTACTTTGTGCAGGAGTTTGTCAAACTGATCGATCTTAACTTCAATCGATACGTGATCGTTGTACTGGTCATTTTCTACTTGCAAAGACGAGACTACCTACCCACGGTAGCTCAACTGCAATCGAATCTACCCCAGGAGGAACTGTGTGGACGTAAGTTTGCCGTTCCCATCGTAAACAGCCTCCCTTTTCGAAATTCCCTTTTCTCTCCCATCCACAGCTTGGCTCATCAACTTCGCCCCCAAAAGCCCGGAAGAACTGAAACTCAAAGACTGCGAAACGGATCTCCGCAAGAGCGCTACGGATTTCTTCCAATTCTACGGCAAACAATTTTCGTTCAATGATTCGGTCGTTTGTCCCCAGATTGGCTTGGCCATCAATCAGTCGGATTTCTTCGCCGAAAATGACTGGCGAATGCCGTTGAAACGGTACAAAACCTATCTGGAAGCGTGCCAAGCCGCCGGGGGTCAGGATGCCACAAACATCGTCCGATTCGTCACGACTCCGATGTGCGTGCAGGATCTGCTGGAACAGACGACCAACATTTCCCGGACGGTCAGCGGCGGAGATACCGCGAAATTTGTACAGATGTGCAAGATGGCATACGAGTTCTACTCGAACAATCAGTAGAAGTAGTTCGCTTTTTTTTTTACTTGTTAAACTAATTTGTTTTGTTATTTTTTTCTGACAATTCGTTCGAAATTGTTTTATTTTATCGTTGCGACCAATTGAATTGGATTACCAATCGCGCTTGACTGAGTAATGCATATAAAAGCAATAGAAACATAGTGAAATGATACATTTCCTATGACAACGTACAATACTGACATTATAAATCATATCAACATTATAAGATAATTAAGTTCATTTTATTCCTAAAACCGGGGAAAGGTCATGATATTTGAACCCTTTGAACATCAGGAGTTCAGTCTAAAAGCCGAAAGCCCAAAGATCTCCAAGGGATGATTTAAATCCAGTGCATTTTATGTTTTTATGTCCAGGGTTGTTTTGATGAATTTCCAAGCGAAGGGCTTCAAGAGAATTGGCAAATCAAAATTGGTACTCGTGGAGAATAGAATAAAATAACTATGAAAGTTTCAAAATTTTACACGGTGAGGTATACGGGGTATACGAGTTATATTTTGCAAATGGAGCATTCTATCAAAGCCTTCAAATCAGATGACGCGATTGGACCTGTATCATAGCGTTCGTATTAAAGAGCCTGAATTTATAAAGAGAGGCGACATCTTATTCATTTGACAGGTCTTCTGCTCGATTGGAATGACTTTTCTTATGACTTTGACAGATAATCGATCGTTCCAATTTTGACTGGTCGTCTCTTTATAAATTCAGGCTCTTTAGTTCGTATGAGAAAATGGAAGAGTTGCCAGTCTTCTTGATATGTTTTTTTTTTTTCGATTTTATTCATATCTGGTTAGGCCCCGTGGAGAATAGCAGAACTATGAAAGTGATGATTTCATTTCTACGTAGGACTACGTCTGTGATTTCTATATGGGGGTACACTTTGTGAAAACCGAAAATGGAACATGTAACAAAAAATGAAAGATTTTGACCATTAATAACTCAGCAGCCCCTGGACTAATTTCAATAATTTTATCACCAATCGATCAGATATATTTCTACACATCTGTTAATTAAAGGCATTATCATTGTTTTTTAAATGTCACTTGAAAATTGCAGCTGATGCTTTGATAATTAAAATTATCACTGATTGCCTGCGAAAAGCAATTTCCTAACACAGATTTCAAAGTTGAATTCGATCCGGTCTTACCAAACGGTGTTTATTCAATCAGTTATCGCTCAGCTTCTGAGACGTGCAGACGTTTTTTTTTCGATTGCGCTTATCACAAGTGAAGCATTTACGGTTGGATATTTGTCTACTTCGGTGTGCCGCGTCGCGTGGTAAAGTGTTCCGCGATGAGGCGAGAAAACACTTTTAAAATCGATTATTCGAACTTCACCATCAAGCTATCGGTCGAAAAGCTTTATGGATTTTGTCGGTCGGTTCTCGGTTTGAAAAGGGAAGATATCAAACGACTACAGTGCCATAGAGGTGGAGCATGTGCGTTTATCAAAGTCAGTGACTTGGCGCTTGCACAAAAAGTTGTTGACGAACATGATGGAAAACATGAAGTGGAGTGTGAGGGGAAGAAACACAAGCTTCGGATTACGTTGGAAGACGGTAGTGTTGAGGTGAAGGTTTACGACCTCCCCGAAGGTGTGTCTGAAGAAAAGGTCGTACAATCAACAATCAATACGAAACTAACGATTTTAAATTGGCTCACCACTTTAGTAGCCTATTGGTCCCAAGCAAACGATTAACGTACCCTATTCTAGTTGAAATTCTATTACTACACTATGTTTGTTTTGATTCGCTATGAAAGTTTGACAGATAACATCAGGGGTGTGTGGATTCATGCAGAACATGCAGGGGTGAGTGAAATAGCTTGGGACTGCTTGGGACCGTTGTTCTGGTACTGAGTGAGCCAAAAATAATAATGATTTTCTTCGGGACCCAGTGGTCTTAGAGTTACCTCTATGGTACAATTCCTAAGCGCGTTCGGCGAAGTAATCTCGATTCGCGCGGTATCATGGAGTGAAAACAACGAATGCGAAGGCATACCGCTCGGTATATGGTCTGTCCGTATGTTAGTGCAGCGGAACATCGACTCGTGGGTCATCATCGACGGAGAGCAAGCGTTCGTGGTGTACAAGGGGCAGCTGCAATCCTGCCGGCACTGCAAAGAGCACGCACACACTGGCATATCATGTGTCCAGAACAAGAAACTATTGTTTCAGAAAAGCTACGCAAACGTGACGAAGCAAACTGGACAGAGTTATAGCACAAACGAAGTGACAGACGGAGCAGCTCGAAAACTTTGGTGACGCACCTGCTATTGCAATTTTTCAGTGTACCACATGGCAACACCACTACTACTGGATTGTACCACATGGCAACACTACTAATGGATTGTACTAGAATGTTTTGGTTCTATCTCTTTCACTCTACTCTAAACTGAAATGCATAAAAAAATGACAAAATGATGCACTCTTTGCACACTGTCAAAGATCATATTGCACACAAAACCAACTATGTTCAAATCAAAATAAAAATACTATCCCATCTGGTGGATGATGGCAAAAGCTTCTAAGAAAATTCTATTACAGCGAACCACATTATTTTAATTGATTTCTTCGCCAGTTAGTCGTCTGTCACTTCGTTTGTGGTTATAGGTCAACAACCGGTCATCAACCGAAAAAACCAGCTGGTGCGAAGCCACCAAGCACGAAACCGTTCGGTCAAAAATCCACCGCTCCACCAGCGGTATCGTTGGACGTTTTTCCCGAACTGCCGAAACGCACGAGCCAGGGTGAATCCTCAGGCTCGAAAACGAACGCAAACAGCCTGCCTACAGTGGGTGCTGTGTCGTTATGCCCACAAACACAACGAACACCCAATTCGTTGCCATCATTCCTAAATACACCGCAAGCTGTCGTGTCGTTGGTCGATGTATTTAAAAAACCAGAAAATACACCGCGATCGCAGAGCAAAAGCGGCAACGGGAACGAAACCGATGAATCCTCTACATCCACGAGCAGCAGACGAATCAGAGGACGTCCAGTGGGCAAAAAACCTCGTCGGGACGACGATGATATGGAGAAGGATGAGGATTCCCACCCATAAATGGCTCTCACGTCGTATAATATCTCGTCGATCAACATCGGCACCATCACGAGTCCAACAAAACTAAACGCGCTACGGAACTTCATCAATAGCCAAAGCCTCGATATTGTGTGTCTGCAAGAAGTAGAAAACGAACAGCTCTCTTTGCCTGGCTTCGTCGTTTTCTCAAATGTGGACCACACGAGAAGAGGAACGGCGATTGCACTGAAGGAACATATCCAGGTCTCTCACGTTGAGAAAAGTCTGGATGGTCGACTGCTTGCTCTGAGAGCAAGACGGTTTTATGACAGGTGGGCAGGAACTCACGGTCTCCCAGTGTTGGTGAGTTCTTTGCCGTTAATGTTCACGAAAAGTTCACTATTTTGCTATACAGAAATTCAAAACAAAAAATTTTATCTGCGGATTTGAACAGTTTTTGACCTGTTTCATACTACCGGAAGGTGTATGCTGGTCACAAATGCCGTGCCAAACTGATTTCCTACTCAATTAATCAATCTTTGATGTGAAATTAGCTAATAAACACGAGGCGCATTTCTTATAGCAAACATGCCATAACAAAATGGGCATGGTTCACTTTAGTAAACAAACTAACACTTCTTCCGACTGTGGCACCTATGTATTAGGCGCCGAGAGCCCCGGTGAAGGAAGTTCGGGTGTACCTACATCTAACAGGTTTGCTGTTCTCCCCATGGATGGGAATATCGAACCAGCTGTGACGGAAAAACGCAGCAAGAAGAGGAAGAAGAATCGGGGTCAGTCCGATGGCACAATTGGTCGCGAGGATGCCTCTGCGACAAACGAAGATTTCGGCGACGCGGCCGAAATAGAAAATGCTGCTGAAAGGTGCGCGGCAAGAGTGAAGCTACCTCCGCTGGTAGTGAAAAATGCCCATCTTAACGAGCTCATCGCGGATCTGGCGTCGCTGGGCGTCAAAGCCGAATTCAAGTTGGGCAGAGTCGGCACCAAGGTGGTGCTCCGTACGAAAACGGAGTATGACTTGGTCATCGCCCACCTGAGGACTTCCAAGGTGGAATTCGTCACCCATGACATTCCCGGTGAGAAACCATTCAAGGTCGTCATCAGGGGTCTACCGAACTTTGACCCGAAGTTGATCGAAGCGGAAATCAAGAACCGCTACAAGCTGGCCCCAACTGCCGTCTTCCGGATGACAAGGAGGGACGAGAACGTCAATAAATATCCGGATTGCCTTTTCCTGGTGCATTTCCAGAAGGGAACGGTGACGCTTAATGCGTTGAAGGCTATCCGCTCCATCAATTCCATCATTGTCCGATGGGAGCCATACCGTGGCGGCCGTCACAACGTCACCCAGTGTCAGCGTTGCCTGAATTTCGGGCACGGCACCCGAAACTGCTACATCAAGCTGCGCTGTGGCAAATGCGCCCAAAATCATGTCTCCTCCGAGTGCGTTGTCGACGAGTCGGACACGTGCAAATGCGCCAACTGTGGTGGAGCTCATCAAGGGTCCGACAAACAGTGCCCCAAACGCGAGGATTTCAAGCGGATCCGAAAGCAGGCGTCCACAAGAAGTCAACCAGGACGGAAGAAGGAAAACATTCCGGCATTCAGGGTGGAGGACTTCCCGCCTCTTCGTGATACGCAACACGGTCAAGCAAATCCACGGGTGCAATCCGGCCCCCGTCAAGAAACGTCTGGTGCCTCAGCTGGACAAAGCTCTCCATCCCCCCCTGGATTCTGGAGACAACCACCAGCACAAAACGCCAATCCCGATCTCTTCTCTGCGGATGAGCTGATGAAGATTTTCGTCGACATGACCGGTGCTCTTCGTCAGTGCCGCAGCAAGCCCGAACAGATCCAAGTGCTCGGTAAGTTTATTATTCAGTATGGTGTCTAAACCGATAACTGTCGTAACATGGAACGCATGCTCTGTAAGAGCAAAAAGACTCGAGCTTGCTGACTTCCTCCGCAAGCAAAGTATCGACGTGGGCCTCCTAACAGAGACCCACCTTAAATCCGGTGACAGTTTTTGGCTACCTAATCACCACATTATCCGGCTTGATCGTATCGACTCCAGGGGGGTGGTGTTGCGATCATCATCAAGAAAGGAATAAAGTTCTACACGCTGCCGCATATCCGCACTTC